GTTAACATATAAACAGCTCATTCTTCCACCAGCCAACACTGCTATTGAACTATAATGGAACAAATATTCAACCTTCAACTCTGTGCTGAAACTACTGCATGTAAAAAAAAGAACGAAACAAAAAATATATACGTTCCTCCGAGTGAGATTTTAGTTGTATTCAAGTGAACAATCTTTTAAAAAATGTGCTTCCCTTTATGTATCCTTTATTAGGAGGATGTACTTCAGTAAAATGAGGACTGACCCAAGAAAGAAACATCACAAAGAAACACAGTAGGATTCACCAAAAGAAAGTCTATTACAAAGAAGTTGCAGAATGGTATCTGTATGAAAGAAAAAACTACACTAAAGAAAAAGAAAACAAGAAAATAGGATACATGTGAACATGTGGAAAATTGTTTTATGAAATTACCAGAGGGAATGTGAGAAACTTAGTAATAAATGCCATAGAAAACTAAGTGAATATAAGGGCAGAATTTTAAAATCTAGAATAAACAAGTGTAAACAACCTAGGAAATGAAAATATTTTCACGTAACTGTTGAGTCACTGTGTTGTATACCTGAAACTAAAATAACAATTATATTGGAATTGAAATAGAAACTTAAAAAAATTAGTAAAATAAAAAAGAAAGTATTTTAGCAGCCTTTTTAAAATGTCAGTAACATATTTTATTAAGCCCGATATGTATATTTAGTTTTAAAAATGTAAATCATTTATAAAGATTTAAGCAAAAAATGTGAGATGACCAAAAAAGGATGTGAGAATAAGAAATATATTTTTGCCTAAAGTATGCAATACCCAAATGACATAAAAATGATCTGAACATATTATTTAGTGATAACTAGGCATATGCAATAATAAAAGCTAAATGCTGAAAATGGTTGTTTCTTTGATAGGGAAATGGAGCATAGGGAGGGTAAGGTAGCAGTTCACTGTTCTTCAGTGTAGCCTACCAAGAATCTTGACTTTCTGAATTGTGCATTAGTCTACTAAACCTAATTTAAAAATTAAATGCCAAATACTTTAAAAAATTTTTTTAAAGGAATCTCTCCATCCAAAGTGGGGTGTGAACTCACAATCCTGAGATCAAGAGTCACATACTCTCACTAACTGAGCCAGCCAGTTTTATGCTAAATATTCTACTCATGTCCTTGTCAACATCGAGTGGAAGAAGATGGGGGCGGATGGGAGAAAGTCAGCAATTTTCTTACCTGGGGGCATAAGTTTCATAAGTATTCTTGCTCCATCCCTAAGAGGTGGCATATTCAGATTGCTACCTAAGTCTGCAATTTGCCAAAGGAAAGCTATGTATCTGGGATGCAGTGACATTATCTGGAATACAGAAAACAAAAAAGATTTACCTATAACTTAAGTTTAAATGGTTTTTGTTATTTAAAATTAATCTAGTCACTAACCCCAAATAAGCTTTCCACCTATCACATCTTTTGCATTCTTACTACCTGAAATTATCTGCCTTCCCCATCTTTTCACTTTCCCAAATCCACTGATCCCTTATGATGCAAACTTAATAATTTATTATGTTTTCCAATTACTCAAGCTACTTTGAGTAATTTCTTTGCAGCAGTTGTTCTACTGTTTTGTAAACTATAAATCTCACACAGCACTCAGACATTTATACAAAAGGGATTTCACCCCTTGAGGGGTAAAGACTGCTGATAAATCTCTAATCTCATTGCTAAAGCGACTCACATCCCTCTAACACTGAAGCAGCTGGTGTTACTTCAGCTGTGACAATTCTTAAGAGGTCGAGGGATGAGAAAATGTGAAGAAATTAAGCAGTTACTGATTCTTTACGTATGAAAAATATTACTAAGAATTAGAGAAAGACAGCAGACTGTATATTTCTTTAAAAACAGTTCCAAAGAAAAGCCTTATAATATAGTAGAATTTCCTACAAGTATATATTTAATAGTATGTTATAGTTCAACTGTAACAGATTCTACCCAAATATTGTACTGTATCTATGGAGAAATTTTATTTTAAACTCCAACATTTAAAAAATCCATCTAGAAGTTACTACTTAACTGCATATATTTATTTGACATTTGCCACATCTATGAACTTGTAAAATGCTTACAAAAAAAAAATTCCACACATTTCTTTATATTTGCAGAGGAAAGTATAATGCTTCTCATATAGTAGTTAACTTACCACCCCAGGCAAACAACTTTCCACTTCTGGATTGGGACCATCACTGTAGTGATTACAATGGTTGCCAGGTGATCCAGTTGAAGAATCAGAAGAACTATCAGGGCTTGACGGCATATTGGAACTTACTTGGGTAAGTTTAGCTGTAATCACCTAAAAATGATAGAATATATTAGTAGCAAAGACAAGAGAAAATACTTCCACAAAATACAGAAATTTGTTATACCAAAAGACTAAAAAATATTTCATGCTTTAATTTTAGAAATATTTAAAAAGTTCTGTTGAAAAAAAAATTTAGTAGTTTACTTTCTCCACTCTACTAGTGTGATGATACACCTATCTTTTTCAGGGTTATAACCCAAAAACTTAATGGAGAAAACTATATATAAGTCTCATTAAACATTTACTGAATGAATGAAAAACAGCTTCAATGTTTAATTCTTTGGGAGTATTTGAAAATTATATATGTACTTACTGATTTATCTTTTAAGTTTAATTGTCCTATTAGCTTTCTGTCATCTTCAGAATCTATTAGCTCACCACCCACGAAGAGTTCAATTTTTGTATGGGCTACATTTGCTTTAATACGGTTGAGAATACATCGTCGTACCGAACCAACTGTATCGTTTGTATGAGACCATATGTCCAAGTCCTCAACCTGTCTGCCATGGTTTGGAAATCGAACTATAAGAGAGAGGTGTTTACCACGGAATGCTCTAAAAAAAATATATAAATTAAAAGAATTAAAAATTAAAAAAAATGTAAATCATATTCAGCAGATTAAACATGAAGCTGGGACAACTATTTTCTTATTATTATGAGAAAGATAGTTGAATTTACTTTTTTTTAGAATATTAAAAATAACTTTGTTTCTGTAGATTATGAACATCATAGTTAATTTTGGAAATACAATATGAT